AGTGTGTGTGTGTGTGTGGTGTGTGTGTGTGTGTGTGTGTTTAAGTTTAGGTTAATATGCGTAAAATTAATAAGTAAAGGAAGTGTACTGAATAAAAGTAATGCGTAAGGAAACTTGTAAAACATTTAATAAACCCGTCCATTTTGATAATAGATGTAATAAGTCTATCGTAAACACAGTTACTGCCATAAAGCGTTCAAACAGCATGGAAAAAAAAATACAATCAATATGAGGCCACCGGGCAGCTATTTTCCTTACTCACTCCTGCTGGATCAGGCCCTCTGTTTGTGTATGTGTGTTTGTGTTTGTGTGTGTGTGTGTTTATGTGTATGTATTATATATATATATATAATATATATATATATATATATATATATATATATATATATATATATATATATATATATATATATATATATACATATATATATATATATATATATGTATATATATATATACTATATATATATATATATATATATATATATATATATATATATATATATATATATATATATATATATATATATATATATATATATATATATATATATATATACATATATATATATATATATATATATATATATATATATATATATAGTATATATATATATAGTATAGTATATACGATATATATATATATATATATAGAGTACTATATATATATATATATATATATATATATATATATATATATATATATATATATATATATATATATATATATATATATATATATATATATATGTAGAGAGAGAGAGAGAGAGAGAGAGAGAGAGAGAGAGAGAGAGAGAGAGAGAGAGAGAGAGAGAGAGAGAGAGAGAGAGGGAGATGTATATATATACATACATACATACATATATATATATATATAAATATATATATATATATATATATATATATATATATATATATATATATATATATATATATATATATAATCAAAGATTACAATCTTTTTGAAGATGACCAAAGACGAAGTGAGTCTCATGACAAGATACTCCATGAATAGACGGTCATGGCTGGGAAACCAGTCGCAAAATCGGTGAATGATGCGACTGCTATTTTAAAACTGGTTCATGTAATCCTTCCTACCTGCAATTACAATGCAAATCATTCTAATACTTGACGAGGGTACTCAGCTATGATAACGATATTGTATACAATGATTTATGCTGAGGCTAAACATTAAATTCGTGAATAGAATTACTTATATTTCGACAATATTACCACGCCTTACCCCATTACCACCCCTCCATTCCTCAACAAAAATACGCAGAGGCGCATGCTCTTAAAGCGGAAAACAACTATTGGGAATCTACTTAGTAACCTAAATTTGTTTGCTAAGTAAACTAGAATTATTTACTTAGTAAACTAGAATTACTTACTTCAAGACAGAAAGTTGTCGGAATGATTGTCCGCAGAAGCACATTGTTGTAAATCTTTTACATCACGAAAGTATAATCACAAAATGTATTTGATATGTGTATTAGGATGATAGTAACATTTCTAAGTACAATGGCCACCGTCACAACTGATACTACTATTCATTATGTCTGTTAGTTCAGCTGTTACAACTGCGTTTATATATAAATCACAACTATAGGAGTATTGTTATTACGCGGCAACTGCATTGCGGAGAATCCAACTTAGTAACCCAGTCAACACTAAAATCATGAGATAAAACAGCTAAATAGCAAAATCTCCTTTATAATGCTTCGCCCCTTCACTCGATTCACTCTTAAAACTGACGTACTAACTGGACCTCACGGCATTTGCATCTACTATCAGAGAAGATCGGTACATAGATAGATAGATGGATATATATATATATATATATATATATATATATATATATATATATATATATATATATATATATATATATATATATATATATATACATATATATATATATATATATATATATATATATATATATATATATATATATATATATATATATATACTTATGAATGTATAGATAGACAAATTAGTAGATATATAGACTGGACAGATAGACAAATAGACAGATAGACAGATAGGTAGATAGATTGATACATAGAATTACGAACATATAGACAAAAGTATAGATAGAGAGATGTTGGTGTGGTGTGTCTATATATATATATATATATATATATATATATATATATATATATATATATATATATATATATATATATATATGTGTGTGTGTGTGTGTGTGTGTGTGTGTGTGTGTGTGTATTATATATATATATATATATATATATATATATATATATATGTGTGTGTGTGTGTGTGTGTGTGTGTGTGTGTGTGTGTGTGTGTGTGTGTGTGTGTGTGTGTGTGTGTGTGTGTGTGTGTGTGTGTGTGTGTGTGTGTGTGTGTGTGTGTGTGTGTGTGTGTGTGTGTGTGTTTGGTGTGTGTGTATGTCTGTGTACGTATGTATATAATATATATATATATATATATATATATATATATATATATATATATATATATATATATATGTGTGTGTGTGTGTGTGTGTGTGTGTGTGTGTGTGTGTGTGTGTGTGTGTGTATGTGTGTGTGTAAATCTGTGCGTATATATTATGTATTTGCATGTGAGAGCGTGTACACGCACACGCACACACACACACACATGTATACATATATATGTTTGTGTTCGAGGGTTTATATACAATTAAATATTCTGATCCATCATTTTCGAATATTGAAGCATTTCCCGTGAGAAATGGCCAAAGGTAAATCCCAACAGTTCTTACTTATGGTCGGATTTCAACCATGAGTTGTACATTGAGGGAGAAAGGAAAGACGTAACCTGTAGGAGGAGCAATTCCAGTCAGTATATATATATATGACGCCACCTGCTCGGAAGACATCGACATCCAACATGAAGCTTCTGGTGAGTAATACAAACCTCATGCTGTCACGGAGCGCGTTCTGTATTCTTACGTGTGAATATCTCTCAGTGCACTGTATATACAAAAAGGATCTATTCACGGACACATTTTCCCCCTAAGGTATTAACACTGGTGGCTGCCGCATCCGCCGCCCCACAGGGTTACAACCTACCCACTCCTTCTGGCCCATCATTTAACGCCGGGGGTTGTGGCAGTGGACAAGTGCAACACGTGGATGGCAGCTGCGTCACACCTCAAGTGAACAACCGTGTGTTCTTGTATGATGTTCCCCCAAATCAGGCTTCTTCCGGTCAAGCACCATACATTCCCAAACCTAAACTGGAGCGAAATATTGTTTTCGTGAGACTTCCTGATGGTGCTCAAGGACCAGAACCAATCGTGGTTCCTCCTCCCAGGCAGCAACACGTCTTGTTCGTGCTTAACAAGCAGTCGGAACAAGGTCAACAAGTGATTGAGGTACCAGCACCACCACCAGCCAATCCCGAAGTGTTCTTCGTGAACTATGCAGAAGGAGAGAACCCAACTCTTCCTGGTGGAGTAGACCTCCAAACGGCGCTTGGTGCTGCTTCTCAGGGTAGCGGTCAAGTTGTGGGAGGTGGTGGCGGTGGAGGAATTGGAGGTGGCTTTGGAGGCGGCATCGGAGGTGGAAGCGGAGGTGGTTTTGGAGGCGGATTCGGAGAGGCTGGCTTTGGAGGCGGAAGTGGAGGTGGCTTTGGAGGCGGAAGTGGAGGTGGCTTTGGAGGAGGAAGTGGAGGTGGCTTTGGAGGCGGAAGTGGAGGTGGCTTTGGAGGAGGAAGTGGAGGTGGCATTGGCGGTGGAAGCTATAGTCCACCTGCACCTTCCACGCTTTACAGTGGACCATAAATATGTTACTAGCTGTGGCTTATGCTTCAAAGTCACCCGGCTTATAATGTTATCTGTTTTCTACAATTACATAAATATGAATGTTATAAGAAGATTCTTTATCCCTCTGATTTTCCAATCGTTCATACATGAATTTGTTTCAAGTACACGTTTAAAAGGGGAAGAAACATGGTAAAATAATAGCAAATAAAATGTTAATGGCTACCTCTCATAATACAAAATGAGTAAACAAGGAAATAGTTCATTCATAAGGCCTATTATGTTTCATATCTATTCAAGAAATATCAACTCATAGACTTATAACCACTTTTATTTTCCAAAGATCTTATACTAAATGTAGGAACCTCACAAAATAAGTAAAATGAGATTTTGTATACGAATTGCATGCTGATATATATAATAACTATATAGCCGTGCTTTATTTGTATATCCTGTAAATCTAATTCATTATGACCATCATCACAATAATTGAATTCATTCATCGTTATCATTATTACTTATTTCTGTACGCTTTCTCAAAACGCAGAGCAACTCTTTAGTCTGGTACAAGACTCATATATCGAGTTATTTCACTTGTGGGTTTTCTTCCTTTTGTAAGCAAATGCAGTACCACTGACTCTATACTGCCCTGGATACAATAAATTTTCATAGCAGTATTTTTATTGATTTGCTGTTCATAAGATTTGTAAATCACCACTCAGCGTATATTTCTCTCCTTGAGAATGCCTTACTAAGCTGTGTCACAGCATAATCGACAGGTCGCCCTCATGTATTCTTCTTTGCTAGGCCAAGACGACGTTATTCTCATGACGGAATGAACGGGAAACCAATCACAAACAATGTGATCAGCATATTAGCTGCTCATGTTGTGTACCATGTCTGCAACCATAATGCAAATCATTCTCATGCTTTTAATGGATAGGAAGTTGTAAGACGTTCCATGAAGAGGCAGTCACGGTCAGGAAACCAGTTGCAAAGTAGGTAAATGGAGCGTCTACCGCTCTTAAACTAGTACAGGTAACATTTCATATACACAGTTACAATGCACATTATTTCAAACCTTTCGGGGGTTGGGAGCTGCAAGAGAGACTTCGCATGCGTTGTTTTAGTGGTTCGTTGAATATTATGCAGAAATCCTGCCATGTCTTGCACAATTATTAGCTTCCCGCGTGTTTCTTCTGTACAGTCATATATTCACTTATATATTTAGCATATATCATAATATATCTCAACCATAATGTATTTGCCTGCATACCGAATGTCATCATGATGATCTTGTTACATGTAGGGGAAGAAGAACTGCAACTAGCTAGTCATTTTAGAACTCTGTTTTATCAATGATCTTTCCAATTCAATAACTCAATATCATAACCTTTTGAAAATGTATATATGTTAGACAATATTCAAAGTATTCAGTAAATATCAAACCAGGTTGTGTAGTTCCTGGAGGTGAGGGTCACCTTCGGTCAACATATAAATAATATAAGTTTTTCACTTATTCATTTGTCAATGTGTGTGTGTGTGTGTGTGTGTGTGTGTGTGTGTGTGTGTGTGTGTGTGTGTGTGTGTGTGTGTGTGTGTGTGTGTGTGTTTCAGTGTGTGTGTATATGTGTATGTATATAAATATATATATATATATATATATATATATATATATATATATATATATATATATATATATATGTATATATATATACATACATACATACATACATATTTATATATGCATATATATACATACATATATATATATATATATATATATATATATATATATATATATATATATATATATATATATATATATATATATATATATATATGTGTGTGTGTGTTTGTATATATATATATATATATATATATATATATATATATATATATATATATATATATATATATATATATATATATATATATATATATATATATATATATATATATATATATATATATATATATATATATATGTATATATATATATATATATATATTTATATATATTGTGTATATATATATGTAGTTTTATATATACATATATGTATATATACCTATATACACTTATATATGTATAGAAATAGATAGATGGATAAAGATAGATAGATAGATTTATGTATATATATACATATATATAAATACTACATTATATATATGTGTGTGCGTGTGAGTATATGTATATATATATATATATATATATATATATATATATATATATATATATATATATATATTAATATATATATATATATATATATATATATATATATATATATATATATATAATATATATATTATATATATATATATATATATATATATATATATATATATATATAATTTTATCCATATTAAAGTAAGTGTGAGTATGTATGTGTATGCGTGTGTTTGTGCGTTGGTGTGTGTATGTGTGTGTGTCTATGTATGTCTATATTTCTATATATATATATATATATATATATATATATATATATATATATATATATATATATATATATATATATATATATATGAATATAAACATATTATATATTAATATAGTTCCATATATTTCTAAGTATATATATATAATATATATATATATATATATATATATATATATATATATATATTATATATATATATTCCACATATAATTAAGTATATGTTTTACATCAATATTCGTGAGAGGCATCTGGTAAAGTGCGAGCACTTCTGCATTCATGTTAGAATTCCAACAATGATTTGTGCATTACAGGAGAAAGGAAAGACATTGTGTAGGAGCAATTCTAGTCCGTATATATAAGGCGTCACATGATCGGTAGTCACAGACTACAAGCATGAAGCTCCTGGTTAGTTATGCAAACCTCTTTCTCTTCCGATTTTTTACTTTATATGATTTTTTTTTTTTTTTTTTTTTTTTTAGTATATAATTGAAAAAATATATAACAAACCTTTTTTTCTCGAAGATTTTTGCACTGGTGGCTGCCGCATCCGCTGCCCCACAGGGATACAACCTACCAACGCCCTCCGGCCCATCCTTTAACGCCGGCGGTTGTGGCGGTGGACAAGTGCAACACGTGGATGGCAGCTGCGTCACACCTCAAGTGAACAGTCGTGTGTTCTTGTATGACGTGCCGCCAAATCAGGCATCTTCCAGTCGGCCAGCGTACGTTCCCAAACCTAAACTGGAACGGAATATTGTTTTCGTGAGACTTCCTGATGGTGCTCAAGGACCAGAACCCATCGTGGTTCCTCCTCCCAGGCAGCAACACGTCTTATTCGTCCTTAACAAGCAGTCGGAACAAGGTCAACAGGTGATCGAGGTGCCAGCGCCACCGCCTTCGGATCCCGAAGTATTCTTTGTGAACTACGCTGAAGGAGAGAACCCAACTCTTCCTGGTGGAGTAGACCTCCAAACGGCGCTTGGTGCTGCCTCTCAAGGTGGCGGTCAAGTTGTGGGAGGTGGTGGTGGTATCGGAGGCGGAATCGGAGGTGGAATCGGAGGAGGTAATGGAGGAGGTATTGGTGGTGGTATTGGAGGCGGAATCGGAGGTGGCATTGGAGGCGGAATCGGAGGTGGTATTGGAGGCGGAATTGGAGAGGCGGAATCGGAGGTGGTATTGGAGGCGGAATCGGAGGTGGCATCGGTGGTGGTATTGGAGGTGGAAGTGGCATCGGCGGTGGAAGCTATAGTCCTCCTGCGCCTTCCACACTTTACAGTGGACCATAAAGGATACACTAAATGAGCATTTATTGTTTTTATGTTTCTATTATTTATAAATACAATAGTGTATATATACAGACTTCTCATTACCCATATATTATCATTCAACCAAGATACATATGCAATGATTGAAAGTAGAATCAGAAACAGGATAAGGAAGACACAATAAATGATATGAATTTTAGTATCTGTATCAGCATTCATTTACACTAACGCTAAAAAAGAAAATATTTAGAATATATTACTATATTTATATCAATGCCTTTTCATGTAATTATGCATATAACAGTCAAATCGAATTACGTTTAAAATTATTATGAAAAGAACACTGCATAAACAGAATTCCAAGACAATCACACACAGTAAAGATGATCTGGGATCCTTTTACGGCTACTTCATGTGCTAATGTTTTGTTTCTGGATATTTATAATCACACATTGTACCTTCCGCCTGTATACATTTCTATACTAGTTAGGACATTATGTAGAGCAACGGCTCGCAGTGCCTTCATTTTCTTGTTGCAAGACGAAGCATGATAGGATGTCCTATGAAAAGAAATCATGGCAAGAGAACCAATCGCCCGCCAGGTGATCGACGCATTCACCATTTCAAAAACTGGTTCATGCGCAATACACAGTGCAGACCACATTATCCAGATTGAGAGAAACACTGTAAGAGAGATTTCGCAGAGGCTGGGTTAGAGATTTGATCATGATGTACTGAGGGTAAGTATGAAAATGCCTTCAAACCAGAGGGCCAAGCAATAATCAACAATGAGTCTTTTTTCTCTCACAGGAATTCAGGAGCGCGAATATACTTATAGAAGAAATTAACATAATTTCATATGCTAAATAAATTAATAATAATAATAATTAAAATTAAATTAAAAATCTGCCTTTGAAAAAGACCTTTTGAGACATTCGCGTCTTTCAAAGTTAAGACTTGGTGCCTTGCTTGAGCTAGTTCTATTCATCCAATGTGCACAGGATAGAAACGTCTGTCTCAAAATCTACAAAAAATTGGCAGAAATATTTTTCATAAATAAACAAAAACAACAGACCCATTCGACTGATTGCTTATTCTAAAAAATAATGGAAAAATATTCCAATGAGATAAATCATTTGCTCCCATATAAGCCTTTAATTTCTCAGAAGAATGCTGTAACTAGTTTACACAGTGGAAATAGGTCACCAGAGAATTTCTATTTGTAATGAATGACTGATTATCTAAAATTATCTGCCGCATGTAACCTGTCAGATGTATCCGTTTTGTGATATTGTTAATATGATTGATTTTTAACTTGCTGCCACACCTATGACGTCTCTACAATAGTTTGGGTGCAATTAAATCACTTTCAAATCGCTAATTCCTTTTCTTTAACACGTGAATCATGCGTATGTGTATGCACATGTATGTATGTATGTGTGCGTGTCCGTATGCGCGCGCATGCGTATATGGGTGTGCATGTGTATTTTGAACTTGCATGCTCAATGTATATATGTTTATATATATACATATGTGTATGTGTGGATACACACATGTACATACACACACAAATATATGTATATATATATATATATTATATATTATATATATATATATATATATATATATATATATATATATATATATATATATATATATATTGCTTATCTATTTAAATATATGTATTTACTTATTTACACAAAAAATACATGCATGTAAAAATGTGAACATACATTTTTGCAGCAAAACCTATGAGAAATATAATTTCTTTATTCGTGTATTGGTTTCAACAATGATTTGTGCATTAAAGGTGAAAGGAAAGACATCGCCTAGAAGCAATACCAGTCAGTATATATATATAGCGTCACTTCTTCGGAAGTCATACACAACCAACATGAAGCTCCTGGTGAGTAATACAGTCTCATGTTGTTATGAAGTATGTTCTCTCATACATTTTTTTTCTTTATATATTAAGATACTTTTTTTTTCTCGAAGGTCTTGGCACTGGTAGCTACCGCATCCGCTGCCCCACAGGGGTACAATCTACCAACGCCCTCCGGGCCATCCTTTAACGCCGGCGTTTGTGGCGGTGGACAAGTACGACACGTGGATGGCAGCTGCGTCACACCTCAAGTGAACAGTCGTGTGTTCTTGTATGACGTGCCGCCAAATCAGGCATCTTCCAGTCGGCCAGCGTACGTTCCCAAACCTAAACTGGAACGGAATATTGTTTTCGTGAGACTTCCTGATGGTGCTCAAGGACCAGAACCCATCGTGGTTCCTCCTCCCAGGCAGCAACACGTCTTATTCGTCCTTAACAAGCAGTCGGAACAAGGTCAACAGGTGATCGAGGTGCCAGCGCCACCGCCTTCGGATCCCGAAGTGTTCTTCGTGAACTACGCTGAAGGAGAGAACCCAACTCTTCCTGGTGGAGTAGACCTCCAAACGGCGCTTGGTGCTGCCTCTCAAGGTGGCGGTCAAGTTGTGGGTGGTGGCAGTGGAGGTTCTGGTGGTGGTTTTGGGGGTGGTATGGAGGA